TGAGGGTGGAGTGTTTGGTCGGAGACATCAGAAGGTGAGACGGCGACACCAGCAGCCGGACCTCCACCTCTTGGACTCGGTATAAAGGTCATAAATGTCTCTGCTCAGGTTCTGCATGAGGGGAAACATTCATGGGGATCAACGTTCAGCTGGAGGAACAGGAACAAAACAAAGCTGCAGTGAAACATTCAAGCTGGCAGAATAATGAGTAAACCCCAATTAACTGGTGGAAACTAATTTGCTAAAACTGCTACTGAAGGAGTGCTGGGTAGAACAGATTTACAGACAAATGTTTTTTTTTTTCATCTCATAAACAAAATGTTTATATTTCATAAACTTTCTAACTTGTTTCCTGCAGTTCCAGGGTGAGTCTTTCTTCATGACTCTTTAAGGAACGAGAAGCTCAATGTTTTTATCCAACCTTGTTATTAATCAGTAAATAAGTTGGAGGAGAGACGTTTGGTTCCTGCTGCAGCTCAGTGTTAATCTGGTTAATCTGAGAGATTAGCTCCAGTCTAACACTGCAGTGAGGATTAAAAGTGGCCAGACAAGGTGAGGGACGGAGGAGAGGTCACCATCAGGAAGGTTGAACCTCTGCAACAAACTGTATCTTACACTATATGGAATTTTTTCTGCACGGTGAAAAATGTTCTGCAGGTTCTGAGTTTCAGTAAAAGTTCTGAATGAAACAGAAAATATTAAGACTTTATCACTCTATGCTTCAAAGCATTGACCTCTGACCTTCATGGGATGGGAATGTTTTAATTTAGATTTCTGAAAGGCAGAATTGACAAATAAAAAAAACCTCTTTACCACAATATCTAAACTTGAACAGAAACTAAGACACCTGAAGAATTATGGCAACAAATATACAAAAGGAAGATTTAACATTCAAATCTGACATGTTTAAACGGTGAATGTTCAGTGATTTAGGAAAACTGTCCAACATTTCAAGGAAATCTGACTGATAATGAAACGGAAAAAAGAAGAGAAACATCTTGATATTCAGTGTGAAGCTTTGACTGGAAACAAACAGGAAAACATGAGGATCCTGGAATAATCCTGGAATAATCCTGGAATAATCCCAGCTTCCATCTTTAAAGGACTGGAAGAAGAAAAAGTTTCACCAAGAAATAGATTGTAGAGATGAACTATCTGTTCAACAGTGAGAGAGTTTCTCTGACAGGAGGAAAATCTTTAGACTCAAATCAGCAAAGAAACACTGAGGAACCAGAAGTGAACCAGACTCCAAATCCAGGAATCAGAGGTTCAGTGAATGTGGTGTTGAAGGTGTGGAGGAGGATCAGTGAGTCAGAGGAGACTCTGTAGAAGGACAGAATGCCAGCAGGACAGTCCACATACACTGATACTCTGTTAGAGACGGAGGAGGAGGAGAGACGAGTTTCTATCTTATTGTGCCAGACAGAGTAACCATTACGATCAGAGCAGATCAGACTCCAGGAATGATCATTATATCCAAACCAACAGTCTTCACTGCCTCCTTTCCTCCTGATTCTTCTGTAACTCACTGATATATAAACATTTCCTCTCCACTCGACCTCCCAGTAACAGCGACCAGTCAGACCAGTTCTACACAGCAGCTGAGGATCATCAAATCTGTCTGGATGATCAGGATATGACTGAAGATCCTTCACACATGTCACCTTCCTGTTGTCTTCAGACAGTTTGAGTTTTCTGCTCACTGTGTTTGTGTCGATGGTGAGTTGACAGGAATCTGATGGAGAGAACAAACACAATCCAGCTGCAGTTATTGATCATTTATTGATCTTTGATGATCCTGAATGAGTGATGTGACAGTTTGAAGATGGTTGAATGTGAGCTGCTTTGTTGTCATGAATCAGATGAAAAACACACTTACATCTCTTCAGTCTCCATGGACCTGGTGTCAAGAATGGGCCTCCAGCAGGCTCCACCCTGAAAGGAGGAGGGGGGTCAGGCCATCAGTCTCCTTCAGCAGCAAACATGGACATTACATGTCTCTCAGACACACATTGTCCTCCACTGAGACAGGAACAGTCCAACATCTGGATTGCAAACTGCAGTGGATGTAGGAAGGACAGTTGGTGCTGCTGCAGCACAACTCATTTCTCCAAACACAGGAAACGCTCCAACAGAGAGGAGAAAGAAAATCCCTCAGTAACAACCTGAAGAAACTCACTGAAGCCTAAAAGGACATCAGGAAACTAAGGAAACATTTCTGGAAGCTCAACCTGATTTAATAATCAGACTGACTAAAGACGTTTCTCCCTCTTCCTCCTCTATCAGACCTTCTCTGCTCCTGCAGCAGGTTCCTCCATACCTGAGAGCTTCCAGTCTCCAGTCTGGATCCTTCAGTCCAGCCGACAGCAGCTTCACTCCTGAGTCTCCTGGATGATTGTAGCTCAGGTCCAACTCTTTCAGATGGGAGGGGTTAAAGGTCAGAGCTGAGGCCAGAGAAGCACAGCCTTCCTCTGAGACCAAACAGCCTGATAAGCTGCAGACACACAATTCATCACATGATGAGAAGATGAGAACATTGAGGTAGAGCCCAAGGTCTGAACTGGACATTTATGGATGGATGGATGGAT